TTGTTAAATAGCCTGAAACCCGCTTGCGGGTTTCCCTCTTTTTTTTTTTAAAAAAAAATAAATTCTATGCTAAAATGACTTAAAACAAAAATAAAAGACTAAAAGTAAATAAAAACTAGCATGAAAAATAAAAATAACAGTAAATAAAAATACACTAAAAATTTGGTGTCTACAGTAGTTAATGAATAATCTGGAAACAGATTGAATGAAGACTCAGAAGAAACGGAAGCTGGTCTCTTATTATTAAAGAGTGAAGGCTAAAATAGGCATATCAGGTGAAAGTTTGTGGTGGAAATCTGTTTTTCGCATATGCACGCGCCTTTGCAGTTCGTTTAAGACACACGCCGAATATTTGACGATTTCCGTCCACTTTTCAGGTTAATTCAAACCACGGGGTATCGACTGGTATGATATGAAACCACAAGGGGTTTTTATGTGTGATTGCCTAACCACAGGGGGCTTTTTTGTTGTTTACCCAATTTTTTAATGGCCATCACTTCTGCAATTCTTCCACTTCAGTCAACATTGTCAGCATAACATTGAACTTGTCACAGAAACTTACATGAGCAATCCAGATGCAAAACAGAGTAATAACAAATCCAGAAGCAAAACAGAGTCAAACATAGATGAAAACTCAATTGTATTTACTTCATTTTAAAGTACAGATGAACCATACAATTCCATACATTCTTCAAAACTACTGCAACATCTTCAATTCCAGCAAACCTTGTTTCTTCCTTTCCTTGCCTCCAAGTACAAAAACAAGTAAAACGCCAAAACAGATACAAATTATAAACAATATTTTCACTTTTGCCTTCAACTTGTTCATTTCAATCAATAATGCTGCGTTTTCTCTCTCAACACTTCTCAGGTCCCTTAAAAGTGCACCCATTATATTTTTCATCTTTTGGGGTATGGGTGGATCATACCACAAAAAAAATCTGCAAGCACCACGTTTCTGCATTTACCACCATTTCATAGTTAAAAGACAAGAAATATTTTAACAAATTCTAAACTTTATGCACATACAAAAAAATTACCCCATAATTTCTGCAACCATGAAACCTTCTTGATGGATTTGCCTCTGTCCAAGCAGTCACAATTCGGCATTGTTCTTGGCAATAGCATCGCACGATGTTGTCTCCACTGTAGTATTTCTCGTTTCCTTCATAAATCGAGTTTCCTGTTTCTGAACCATTTGATCCTTTGACGGTGTTAATAAATTGATCACTGGCTGAGCTTGAGGATGCTTTGTCCCAATTCTTTCTCGAATGCATTGAATTACAGTGCTTTTTCTACGCGGGTCTGCAAAAATTGGACAGCTCTCTTTGGTGCAAGAGAGGTAGTACCTAGATTTGGGCTTTACATCGATTTACTTTTTAATTGGAAAAGGCGCCAGAATGGAATTCCCTAAAATGCCCCTTTTGTATTGCACGATTATGAACCTAATGGAAATTATACGGTGGCGCCGCTGCAAAGATCCTTGATTGGAACCGATATATAGGTTTAGGGATCCAATTGGCTAGAAATAATATATAGGGACTAAATTGACGGAAAAAAAAGTTTAGGGACTAAATTGGCGATTTTCCCTACATTTGATATTAATAGCAAGTTAGTAAGCAACTTGATTACAACATTTTTTTTTTAAAAGTAATTTTATATGGAGAAAGGAAATGTGCTTCGCTTTTTTTTTTAAGGGAATTTTGATCGTTACTTCTTATGAAAAATACTATTCCTACTACAATATATTTGGAGCAACAGCCAATATGATATAAAATCTGATATTAAATTGATCACAAAGGTACAAAATTCATAGGAATTTTAGAACAGTACCAAAAAGACTCCCACTACTAAAGTTTATACAATTATATATAAGTTTGCCCCAAATAACTCTCTACATCCACAACGAATATAACAATGATCTTAATCATGTGTAGGCCTCATATACATACGATTGGCGGTCAGGTTTTTGCCCCTCCTGCATTTTACTAAACTACCCCATCTGGGATTAACCAAAAAAGAGGGAAAAAAATCATATATGGGCTGGGTCCAAACAGAGATAGAGAAAGTTATTTTAAGAAGATTCTTTTTTTTTTTTTATCTTTCTTGGTACCAGTTTGTCCAACAGTCCAGTTCAAGTGATAAATAATTTTGATAATAATTAGGTTAGTTTGTCGAGTACAATTTATAATTGGATAAACATTTGGACTTACCCACTGAAGAGTATTCGAATCTTTTCTATCAACTGACCAATCAAATCAAATATTTCAATCATTTTCTCTCCTAAAATCAAATTCCTTTTTTAATTTTATTTCTTCTATCAACTGACCAATCAAATCAAATATCTCAATGTTCATGATTTGTTTTTTCAAATTTTAAAAATTTAATCTTTTCTATTCTGTAGAAACTCTTTTGCACAAGTAAATTTGGTTGCATGCTACATATACAAAATAGAAATCTATATTTTGAATAAAAATTATGTGTCATGTATCCAAACCTACTAATGTAAAAAAAAAGTTCGCGAACTAATGAATTTAGTGTATTTGAACTTGAATTCGAGTTCAAATTTGATTTGGTCAGTTCGAATTCGACGTTACTTGAACTCGAGTCAAACTTTAACTCGAACAGCTAGCGATTGAGCGATTCGATTCGTTTGCACCCCTAATCCGAAGAAGGTTGAAACAATTGTTTGGACCTCGATTCGTTTGAACTAATTCGAAGAAGCCTGAGACAACTGTTTGGATTGATTCTGGTGTATCCACGCACAACTCGCAATCGCATGAAATTTGTGAGCACGAAACTTCCACAAGAGTGGGGTTTGTTACGAATTTATTGCTTTGAGGGACCTAAGCTTTACTATAAATTTGATCGGCAGTTGTCAATTTCCAATTGTTGTCATTTGTGCACTTGACTACTTGTAGGGCAGCCCACTAATTTGTGTACTCGCTTTGAGGGACACAATTGCATGAAATTCGTGAGCACGAAACTCCCGCTAACGCTTCCCGTCCTGGGAGTAGGGACCTAAGCTTTACTCTAAATTTGTTAGGGAGTAGTCAATTTCAAATTGTTATCTTCTGTGTACTTGACAACTTGTAGGGCAGCCCATTAATTTTGTCGAAGAATTATTGTCCTTTCTGTTATCTATGTTCGGACAGGTAAATGAATTGGGTGGATGTTCGGTTCTATTTTTTTTATCGGTTTAACCAGTCAGTTCATCGGTTCAATGATTTTTTTAATTTTGTTAATAATAAAAAATAGCTAATAATGAGGAAGTATGAAATAAATGCAAAAACCCTGAATTCTGAAATATCTTTTACACAATGTCTACCAATTTTCAGTTCATCAACCAAAGAAATGAAATTGTTTTTCGTTTAGCAATATTAAGGATCGAAACAAATATAAATTTATCTACCCAATATCTCAAATTAATGGAAAAAGAAGATTCTGACTTTCCCAAGTCAAGAACAAATCAAATAAGGTTTGTAAAATCAACTCCAATAATGAAAAATAACAAAAAAGAAAGAAAAGCAGAACAACCATGTACTGAAGATATATGCGTCCTTTATAATTGATATTTATATTGTCCATTATCATCTTCTTCACAACCAATGACCTTCTATGGTGAAAAAAAAAAGGGAAAATGACATGTTTTATCCTTTACATTTCACAAAAATATTCTTTTCGTCCCTTACTTTTAAAACGAAGCAATTTGGTCCCTGACATTTAAAAATTAAACTTATTACATCCCTGAACCTAATTGTCAATCTGAATCAAATCATCCAATAACCCAGTAATAAATTTCGGAGATAAAATTGATAGATCATTCCGTCAACTCCATCATATTCACATGACATTTATTGAACCAAAAAAAATAAAAAGTATAACATAAAAGGTCATTCTTTGTCTGGGAATAATAAGGTTTCTTTTAATCTTTTCATGTACCATTAGTATATACGTTTGCGAGTCTAGATGTATATCATAAATACAAATTTTGGTATTTAAATTTAAATTGAAATGATGTGGCAGCTACATAAGCCCATCAGTGTATACAATGACAATGTAGGAAAGATTAATTATTCTTTTTTATGTTATAATTTTTTATTTTTTATTTTTGGGTTCATTAAATTTCACTTGAATATCAAGTTGAGTTTAGTCAAGTGATCTACCAATTATATCCCCAAATTTGTAATTAGGTTGATTGATGGTTTGATTCATATTGAAAATTGGGTTCAGGGGCGTAATAACTTCAATTTTTAAATGTCAAGGATGAAATTGCTTCGTTTTAAAAGTGAGGGACGAAAAGAATAATTTTGTAAATTGTGAGAGATGAAACTGGTCATTTTCCAAAAAAAAAAAACAAAAAAGTTTGCAATGTACATCTTTACTAACTTTATCATCATTTTCACCGTCTAAATAATAAAATTAAAAAAAAAATGATAAAAGGGCAAAAATGAGGAGTAGGAGAAGAAATTAGAAGGACGGCTAAGGTATTTGGAAATGTGCAAAGGCACCGGTGTATTGGACTGTTTTCCCTATTGTCTTTTCGATACGTATTTTATCCCCACCCCCACATGAGAAAAGATGTTAACAGCAAAGGATGTCCAAAAAATGAAAGAAAAGCGGAATGTAGCATATAAAATGAAAATGGCTTTCTTACACTTAATTTAAGATACGAGACAAATAAATAAGTAAAATTTTACAGCACTAATATAAATTACTGGTCATCTACAGCGGAGATCAAAGAGTCAGCGGTAAATAGGAGAAAATAAATCCTACACTTTATTAAATATTTCACGACTCAAAGTGGGATCCTCTTACTCACAAGTAGCAACAATTAAATAAAAGTTGACTGGGAAGACCTCAGTATATGGCAATAATGTTGTAGGAGTAGTCCTCAGTCACCAAACTTCTGTTTGCAACAAAACATTTCTTTCCAAATCATTGCATTATATCCTTGCAACATTTTATTGCCGACACTCCTTGTACACAAAAACAAAGCAATGGCAATAGCTGAATCGTTGATTCCAAAGATAATAGATGAATTGGGTGAAGTTGCCAAAAAGCAGCTCGAGAAGAGGGTTAACCTGGTGCTGGGGGTTGAAGAGGAGGTGGCAAATATCGAAAAAAGGTTGGCAACCATTGAAAATGTGCTGCGTGATGCAGAGAGACGAAGGCTGAAGGAGGAACCTGTAGGAAAGTGGCTCGAAGAGCTTGAGGGCATAACATATGAGATGGATGATGTGCTGGACGAATGGAACGTCAAGATTCAGAAACCAGAATTTGAGCAACCAACATTGTGGAGCAAGGTTCGTTCCTTTATCCTATCCCTTTGTTTACGTATCAAAGAGCTTCCTGACCGTCTTGATATAGCTCAGAAAATAAAAAGCATAAATGACAAGCTAGAATCGACTTTGAAAGAGGCAGATAAATTCAAGTTTATTACAAGTGGGGGGATTCCTGATTCTCATGATTTCAACGAGGTATGACTACCTCAATCATAGACGAATCAAAGATCTGTGGTCGAGATTCTGATAAGGTTGCTTTACTTGACCAAGTTTTGTCTAAGAGCAGTAGTCAAGGAAGAAAGGGGTTCAAGTTATCTCTGTAGTAGGGGCCGGGGTAGCGGAAAGACCACACTTGCCCAGCTGCTCTTCAATAACGATGAAGTGCAGAGGCACTTTGAACTTAGAAATTGGATCTGCGTATCGGATCCTTTCGACCAGAAAAGGATTGCGAAAGCTATCCTTGGGAATGCTGGAAATAGTTCTCAAGAATCAGAGTTGGATCCGTTGATCCGAGGTATAAAAGAAACTTTTTCCCGTAAGAGATTCCTGCTTGTCCTAGATGATGTCTGGACAGAGGATGACTCAAAGTGGGAACCTTTCCAAAACTCTCTCAAGGATGGGGCTCCTGGAAGTGTAATCTTGGTGACAACAAGGAGTCATAGAGTGGCCGCAGTGGTGGGAACAACTCATACTCACCGGATGGCCCTGATGTCCGACTCTGATTGTTGGCTAATAATGCAAAGGATAGCATTTGCCAACAAATCAGGGACTTCTGCAAGAAGGTGGAAAGAATTGTGGCAGAAAATTGCAGAAAAGTGCAAAGGGTTGCCACTTGCTGCAAAGACTATGGGAAGCTTGTTACGGTTCAAAGATACCGTACAACAATGGCAGAATGTTTTGGACAGTGAGATATGGCAATTGGAGGAAGCAGCCGTGGAACTTTTCCCTCATTTGTATTTAAGCTATAACGAGTTGTCCCCAGAGCTGAAACGTTGCTTCTCATATTGTGCTGTCTTTCCCAAAGATCATGAGATATATGTAGAAGAGCTTATTAGTCTGTGGATAGCACAAGGTTATGTTCGCCCAAGACGAAGAGGTGAGCGCTTGGAGCTGGTGGGCCGTGAGTACTTCAACAAGTTGGCAATGCGTTCCTTTTTTCAAGAATTACAAGAAGTTGAGGGTTACTTTGGGTTTCATGAATATATGAAGTGCAAGATGCATGACATAGTGCATGATTTTGCACAATTTCTCACAAAAAATGAATGTCATGCACTTGATGGAACTAGAAGAAATTCATCTAGTGAAAGACCACGTCATCTAACAATTTTGGAAGAAGGCACCGAGGAGGAGATGTTTAGTTCTCCAGTCGTTGATTTTGGAAGGCTCAGGAGCTTTTTTGCTTTTCGTAGAATTGGAACAGTAGTAGTTCCCCAAAATCTGTTTTGCAGTTTGAAGTGCGTGAGGACTCTGACTTTAAGTCGTTGTGAGCTGGCTGAAATCCCAACCGAGATCGGAAGGTTGATTCATCTTCGGCACTTGGACTTAAGTTATAATCCTTTCATTACACTGCCAGAAGCTATATGTGATCTATATTATCTGGAAACTTTGAATATCAATGATTGTGGACAGCTTTCGTGCCTTCCTGAAAGGATTGAAGGCCTTGTACACTTGAGGCACCTTTTCAATGAGAACACCGATGATTTACGTCAAATGCCACAAGGATTCGGGAAGCTGACATCACTTTGTACTTTGGCTCGGTTCATCGCCAGGAGCAACTTTGATGATTTGGCAATTCTGAAGGACCTGAACCAACTGGAAATATTGGTCATTGAAATTGAAGGAGAAGTAGATTTTGGGAGTGCAAAACTTGGCAAGAAAATCAACATGCGTGAAATGTTTTTGTTATTTAGTGATGGGACCCACTTTATAGAAACTCCAAATTGCATTGAAACCATGCAACCACCTCCAAACTTGGAACTACTTGTGCTAGTTGGCTATCCAGGAACCAGTTACCAAGTTGGCTTGTGACGAAGTCTCACGCCAATAACTTGACGAAGCTCAGTATTGCTAGGCCCCACAACATCTCATCCTTGCTTGCCTTGCGGAAGCTATCATTCCTAGAAGAGCTTGTGCTCGGGGAAGCGGATGAGCTAGAATGTTTGGGTAAGGAATTCTTCGGAGTTACAAAAGCACTACATGAGAATAGTCGTGATGCTCTTGATACATTGTCAGACTCCGAGTCATCATTCTCAGCTGAAGCAGTGGCATTTCCGAATTTGAGAAAATTATATTTTCGTGAATTCGACAATTGGACAAATTGGGAAGACGTAAGTGAAGATGATGAAGAAGTTGCAGTCTCTATCATGCCATGTCTGGAGGAGCTAAAAATTAGTCAATGTTACAAGCTTGAAGCTCTGCCACATCGCATCCTCAGCAAGATATCATCTCTCAAAAATTTGGATATTCAACGTTGCGACAAGTTGAGGGATCGTTACTTTGACAAAATAGGAGATGACTGGATAAAGATATCACACATTCCTCGAGTTCACATATCCAATTAGTATTAATCTACTCAGGTATGATTATTCACATTTTTTTTTTTATGTATCTATCATCTTTCTCCTTACAGAATTACAACAAACAAAGGCCTGCTTTGTAGAATATGACGTGCTTAATAATGAATCATGGGTTAACAGAGCCATATGTATAATGAAAATATGAAATATTCATTAATAATTTAGAGTGGTTTTTTTATTGAGAAGATGCAAGTCATTAACTAGTAAATACAACACTAAATTTCTAACAATATCTAACTGTAAACTCTTGAGTTTGGAATTCCATTTATGTCTTGTCTTTTTATCCTTTTTTTTTGTAGCTTTTGTCCTTTGTTTCCCAGATAATGCTCATGGCTCAAAGTGAAGCTACAGCAGAAGGCATTGATGTATCAACCTCTACGTCGACTTTTTACTTGGGTTCATGTAAAATTTCAAATAATTGTAAATATGGTTGAAGATGCACATCCACTTGCTTTGTTCAAAATAATTTGTTGAAACCGTTTGTAGCCTTACAAATTTGCAGATTGAATTTCAAGTGGTTACAAAACCAGTCTTTATTTCTTCAAATTATTATTATCTTATTGTATGAAAGTTTGTGTAGATTTAAAAAAAGAAAGTTTGTACATCGTGCTTGTCTATATAGTGTTTTATTGACAATCTATTATCAACACACCTATTTTATGGTATTATTCTAAAATAACATGAATTCAAATTTGAAATTGAATAATACACATGTAGCATACATCCAAAACTATTAATAACAAAAAAAAAATCACTACACTCTGAGTGTATAAAAAGTTAATCCATATTCTAATGGTTAGAAGTTAACAAGTTGACAAACTATTCTTTATCTTGTTTCCTTTCTTAAAAAAATGTTTACAAAGATAATTGGAATAACAAAAACTCAAACTACAAAAAATGCATGTACACTTAAAGGCACCAAAACTCATGATACTTTTATAGTAGTAGCAGCAATGGTAGTTCTAGTAGTAGTAATGACAATGATATTGTACGCCGATAAAAATTTCAAGTCTGCAAAATGACAAGAAAAGAAATACACGACAAATATGTAATATATAAAATTAGAAAAATATGCGGGTACAATCTCTGGAAGTTTCTCGAACTTATGGAGAGTTTCCTTCGATTCTTCTCCTCGAACACCAATCCAAAGGCTTCGCAGCTTGTTCTCGGATCAACCACCGATTCTTTCAAATCTTGATATGGAAGATTTGAAGAACTTGAGAATATTTGAAGGCTCAAGTCTTGATATGCGGAAGACTTGAGGAGTTTAGAAACCCAGGCCTTCGTAGCTTGGAGCTTCAATACTTGAGTGTATGAGATGCCTCCTGGTGTGTCTCTGTCTGTGTGTGTCCCTTTGATTTGGTTGAGAGACCTCTATTTATAGCTGTAGCAAGGGGTAGAGGTTGAAGACCTGTGTACCACTTTACTTGCAAGACGTGCAGTCATATTAGGACTGTGTCAGTTAAATATTATCTCTTCATTTTATATTTATCAATAAAGAGATAGATAATTTCCCGATTGGCCAAGCCCGTGGGGGCAAGTGACGTGGTGTCGTCTGATTGGACAGACCATTGCAGTATATAAGAGATATATATGGATCAAACGACTCTAAATATTATCTCTTTAATAAGAAATAAATATTTAAATGTCTATCCAGTAGACATATGATATGATATGATTTGGTTGGTGGAGATATCCCTACAATTTGAATAAATTTGGAACACCTCACCTTGACATGTGGAAAAATATAATTGGCCATTTAATAACCAAATTTTCCAAGTGTACATGACATTTGGCAATACCCGATTGGATAGAAATAAGCCACAAAAATAATTTATAGACCCATGGTAATTTTAAGAATTAATTAAAATTCTATTGTCTACAAATGCCCCCTCGAAACTCGTTCGTGAATAAAATTAAAGCGGGATTTGAGTGAACGAGTTTCGACAATTTTTTTCAACTTAATTCGATTGTCCTAGGAGCAGGACAACATTAATCTCACATTCAAATCCATAAACGTATGAAGCTCGTAGTCATAGCCCTCAATTGATAACATAAAGTGATGGTTGCATGCACTTAGAGCTTTCAATTTCCCGAGGCCGAATTACATCCACAGTTGGCATTTTAAATAAGTGGACTTTATTTAAAGCTTTGCAATGTCGTAGCTTTCCAATTGATCACAAGAAGGCCATGTAGGATGCCACCAATTCATGCATAACATATTGCTATCAATCCCCAGGGTCAAACATATCATGCCAACAGCTTCAGGTCCACCGCTACGCATGAATTTCGGTGGCTTCAATTTCCAAGGCCAAATGGCTTTATAATAACTTGCCCCGAGTCCTTTTTAGTTAAACACAATGTGAAAACGTGGTCCCCTCATTCTAGCTAACCACTAGCACCGTTTGCTAGTTTGCTGCCGTCTCTTTGCGGATCACCTGATGCTTGATCGTTAGCATACTTCTCATTTTCCTTAGCGGGTGAATTTAAAGGAGATCTTCCCGGCAGTCCTGACTAAACTCAAAAGCTCATTTGAGACGCCATGGTTGTCAAGGTGCATCACTCCCTACCATATGGCAGCCTTCTTTAACTTGCCGCGACAGCTTCGTCCTCTGCTTTAATGTC